GACTGCCATAAGAGTGAGGTGGCCGTCTTCTGGTCCAGTTTGCCTTCAGAGAGCGGATAGCCCATAAACTGGTTAAAAAGAAAAAAAGATTAGCTATTAGTGAATTATTCAGAATTAATAAAAGCAAACCTGACTAACCAACTAAACCAACAAAGTCTGAGTGTTGGTTTAGTCTAATTTTGTGGGGCTGTAAAAAGCAGGGTCTTTATGAATTGTGAGAATCAAGGAGTCAAGAAACTTGGGCATTGCAAATAGATTTTTTTAAAACTCGGCAGTAACTATACGAGACTTTGCAGCATGTGTTCTGTACGTATGTCTTTGTTTGTTCTAAAGCTGTGTCCCCAGAAGAGCCCCTGCCCCCTTAAAATGACCACCTGAGGATGCTCAGCCCTGTCACGAGAATTTACTGTTTGCTTCTGCTAAAATCTGGTGACAGGCAGAGCGGCCCCAAACCTGCTCTGAGAGCAGTTACTTTAGAAATCTTCCAATTACAAGGCCTTTCTATGCCCTGTGGAATCTAAAGCTTCCACCCAAACCCATTTCCTCAAGGGCCCAAGTCCTTTCTTTACAGTGCAAACCTGAAGTCTCCCTCCAGTCCCCCAGAGAGGTCAGAGGGGTCCTGACTGCAGCTGACACCACAGCCTCCTGCTTCTCCCAAGCAAGTGTGGGCCAGCAGATCCAGGTGGTCTAGCTCATGCTCTAACGTCCCCCCACGCCCACCCCACGGGGCCTTTCCTTTAGCTCCCCCAGGCTTTAGGCACCTCCAAGCTTTAGTTTCAGGGACTTGGGTCGAGTCCACACTGAGCTCTTTCCCCTACTGAAGAGTGTTCCTGTATGAAACCGGTGCTTCTGCTCTAACTGGGGTGGCTTTGTTTATCTGCGACAGGAAAGAAAGTCTCTGCACATTTAGAGGTCAGTCTTAACTCAAGGACAAGCAACTTTCTCTGAGTCTTTCTAATGAGAGGACTAACGGTGTGTGGAGGTTCACAGGGAAACTCTGCCCACCAGGCCCAAGTTTAGAAGCTACTGGCCTCAACCCCTCAACTCCCAATTTCTTCCCTGTCTAGGCCTCCCTGTTTCCCCATCTGGACAATCGTTATCTCTCCAAGCCTCCCAGCATGGACACGTCAGGAATCCTTCATTGGAAGACATCAGAGAGTGTTTGGGGGAGAGAGGTCCCCAGGGCTGTGTCACCCAGGTGACAGGGGAGCCTTCCCAGAGAAGATTTTTAGGGAAATGACACCTGAAATTGAAAGGGACAGCTGCCCTGAGCAGGGCTTAGAGAAGCGAGGACACCTGTGAGCAGGGACGGGAGGGCTGATGGGGCAGAGGGGGAGTCTAAGCGGCCGCACATTCTCACCGTCGGAAGAATCCAGCCAAACTCCTGCTTGTTGATTCCAACCATGTAGGGGACGGTGTTGAAGTTCTTTTCGGTCAGAATCTCTTCAGGAGTTTTCGGCAGCACCACTCCGTCCACCACGGTGCCCATGAAGCGGTGACTCTGAGAAAGAGGGCAGGACAGTGCCTGGGCCTCCCCTCTCCGGGCAACAGTCCCGTGCTGCTCTCTGCCTGCCTGAGGTGAGGCCACTGCATGGACCTGGGTGGGCCTTGGCCGTGGCCACAGAAGCTCAGGGTGCTAACACTGGGGCTCAGTCTGTGTGATCCTGCAGTGTTTAACCCAAAGGGGGCTGGCAGGGTGAGGTGATGAGTCGGGAGGAAAATCTTGTTTCAAATCCCAATTTATGCATTCCATGTATGAATCACATACATTTCAGTTATAAGTCAGTGAGTCTCTGTAACTCTGTGTGCAGGACACCCTGTTAATCACAGGAGTGGGGTTCAGTCAAATGCCCTGAGTGCTGAATTAGCAAACACCCACTTGTCACTCAAAGGGGAAGTACAAGTTAGGCTCCTGAGAGACTCTGGCTCCAGAGTTTTTGTCAACCTTATTTTAGGTGTGAGCTTCTGTCTAAATACACTTTCAATAATCTGTATTTCCTGCAGAAAATTAGTTCCACGGGCCATTTATTTATAACAAACACCAGTCAGGAAGGCCGCCCGTTCTCCCGACCCGGGTACAGGACTGGGAGGGTTTCCGGCTGGCAGCGTCACAGCAGTGCTGTCCACTGTCCACTGTGCCTTCTGAAGATTCCTTCAGCATCACGGGAATCCACAGATGCAGCTGCTTCTCCGTCCCCCATAGCTCCTCACACGCAGCAGATTTTAACACTTTCTGTAATGGCCTCGTGTCTGGATGGGCAAAGTCCCCCCTTTCCTGGATGTGCCTATTGTTCATTCATTAACTCCAAAGTCACGGCCAACACACAATCCGTTCCTCTGCAAACTCGCCTGCCACAGGTATTGTCCCCGTAATGCACACCACAGCCACCTTGAACTTAGGGACAAGAGACAGCACCTCAGCACTGCTCTGGGGGGCCGTCTGAGACAGGGGATCTCTGACACCCAGCACAAAACACAAACACCACGGCACTAGCTAGACCGTGAGGAGGGCACGTGGGGTGAGAGGTCACAGAGGGAGGCAGGGCCCTTGCTCATTGATCTCTTTGAGACCTTCCCTGTGTTTCCAGGACCCGTGCCCGTCTGCACAAGCCACAGGGGAGGTCTGCAAGGTGGACAAGAGCAAGCAGGACGAGGCACCAATCCCAACTCAGGGTGGCTGAGAGTAGCCGTCAGGGTGACCACGGCATTCTTGAAGGGTTATACAGTTCAGAACAGGCTGCCATGGGGAGCCGGGAACAGGACAGGCCACACGGAGGGGGTGCTGAGGGGGTGGGATGGACAGGTGAGAAAGTGGAAGTAGGAGATGGTTCAAGTCCAGAAGTGAGGTGGCATCAGTGGTCACACCACAGACATCAGCAGCAGTGACAGTGACACTAATTACACTGTCCTCTTAGTCTCTGCACGTGCCTGCTCTGTGTGGGCCACGTGTATGGCATTGCTTGGGTAGAAAGCTCAGGCATTCTTTGCTCCTTTCTTTTCAACATGAGCAAACCTTGTCACCTAGTTCAACAACACCCAGACTCCAAACGCTTCCCCCACCACTGTCTCAGCCCACAGCACCCCTGGACTGGATGGTTGGAACACAGGTGCCTCCCACCAGGTCTGTTGGCATCTTCTGCAACCTCCTACCGTCTGTTTTCAACAGAGTAGACAGAGACCTTTGTAAAACCCAAGATCATGACTGTTGCCTTTCATATCAATGCCCAAGCCCTTTAAGTGACCCCCTTACCTCCCACCTCTCATTAGCTACTCCGCCTCCATTCTGTCTGTCCGTATGCTCCTTCCTCCTAGCCCTGCAGCCCAGCCTCCTGCCTCAGGTTGGACAGTGCAGCAGCTGTCCCCTCTGCCTGCTCAGGCTCCTTCAGGGCTCCGGACAGTGCCTCCCCCTCCTCTGGAGTTGGGTCCAAATGCCACTTCTCACTGAGCCATCCCAGACCCTGCTAGTAAATTCACCCCCCTGGGGAACTCTGTCCCTCAGCCCCTCCCACCATACTTTATTGGTTTTCACTATACACCCCCGACTGGCAGACTCCCCATGGAGGACTCTCAGAGGGCAGAGGGTCTCATCTGTTTCCCTGCTGTGTCCCCAGCTCCTCAGCCAGGCCCTGGCTCCCAGGAAGGGCTTAAGGAACCTGAGCTGAGAGTCTGGATGAAGCTCACTTAGTCCTCACAAGGCCTCGGAGGGGAAAGGGGGGTGATCTCCAGGGAGGGAGCAGAGAGGGCAGGATTGTTGGATGCTGCGGGGGGGACATCACCAGACCCTGGCAACCTGTTGGGAATTGTGCATGTGGGGAGAAGGAGACGGAGAGGAGAAGCTGAAGGATCCTGGGTGCTGGGAGGAGGGGGTGTCCTCAGGACCGAAGTCCAGGCTCCCCTGTATAGATCACCTTGTGGCCTCGCAGGACATCTCAGTTCCTCAGTAAAGGCATCTGTGACCTCTGCCTCCTGACAGTGAAAGGCTGCAGTTCAGCCCCCTCCTGTGTGTGGTTGGAAAACTATTTTTGTTTTTTGTCCTTTGAATGAAAAAGATTCTACTAATAAAAAAAGGGGGGGATCATGTTGGGGAGAGGAAACGTGAATAAGAAGGAAAGTAGGTGAACTCAGGGACCCAGACATGATGCCTGGGAGCACTGGAGTAGGAGTCTGAGGAATGGGTCCAATCCTGCCTCTGGTCCCTGGCTGTGTTACCCCAGGTAAGTCACTGCCCTCTCTGGGCCCCAGCACCATACACACAGGAAGTTTCAGGGGTTCTACATAGGAGCATTATTTCATTCAGTGGTAATTAGAGTTCAAACATGTTAAGACTCAAAACCTGTAATCAAGATAACAAAGGTCCTTACCTCCCTGGGGTCTCCAAGGAAATCCATAGTAAACAATTTCTGTGAAGACAAAGGCAGAGGACGGGGGTGAGAGGCTTCCTAGAGAAAGCTGGTCTGTGTGACTGTGCACCAGAGCTGTCAGGAGCTCCCTCCTGCTGTCACCCTGGGAGGGCTGAGAGGACATGGGCAGGACACCAGATCCAT